CACGCCAAAGGCAAAAAAAGATGGGCTGTTTTAATTGTTTGATCTTTTTTTGGTGGCGGAATCTAACGTCAGTGAGAACTGGCAGTTATGATTAAGTCCAGTCATAGACAAAATGGAAGCAGGTAGGTCTTTCTGCCACTGTTCTATTCTTCCACTTCTGCCTGACTCTTTTGGTTGCAAGTGACAGAAACCCACTCTGACTAGCTCAAGCCAAAAAGGGGATTCAGTTCAAGGTTGCAGGAACATCCAAAGACAGGGATACAGCTCAGTCTGGGAACAAACTGGAAGCTAAGACTTGAGTCTTATCAGCACTCTATCTGCTCCTCTCTTTGCATCTGCCTCATTTTGGTTTCTCTGCTTACACTGTTTTTCCACTCCATGATACAGCAAGTATGATCACCGATAGCTCCTGAGATTATACTTCCTCGATTCAATACATCAGCCAGGCCAAGGCTAGCCTCTTTCAGTGCTCTTTCCAAACACCTCTGGGAAGGTGTTCATTGGCCTAGCTTGGTCCACGTGTCTATTCCTGATCCACTTGGCTGTAACTGGGGCCAAGGTCAATCATAGCTGTGTGGACCTCTGCTGCTGTGGCCTGTTGGTTGTGGTTCAGAGGGTGGGCCAAGAGGCAGGAAAAGACAGAGCTGAGCAGCCATCACCATGGGAGGCCAGTGCAATTCTCACTCTACCATTTGATGGCCCAGGACTCCCTACTTTGGTCCTTTACCTGACCTTTCCCTCCTTGAGCTACACCACAAATACACTCTATTTCTACATTCTCTTCTAATCAAAGTTTCTTTATCTTGTGTACCATTACAATAGAATTCTGCTAGATGACCAATTAATCTGATATAGACAGCAAACTGTAGCAAAGATCTCAGATAAGCCCAAAATATCAGTTCTCTTCTGATAAGTGGGGATAATTTTGCCTAACCTGAGGCATTGTTGAGAGACTAATAATAATAATAATAATAGTGATACTGCTTATTCCCTTCTAAGTAATAACATTTTCAGTTTAACTTGGATATAACAGAAATAAATATCTTAGAATTTCAAACCTATGTCAGAAAGGCAGTGAAAGAATATTTAGTGACCCTCAAATCACATAACATAACCTTTAATCCTATTTTTTATACCCAGATTAATCCTACATAGAACTCAGATTTGAAAATCATGTATAACCTTTTTCACAATCTGAGGGGAAGAATTCATCTGGCTGTGTGGTCTTGAGTACAACTCTGTGCCAGCTTCTTTATCTATAAAATGGGGTGATAATAATGCCCACCTCACAGGGCTGTTGTGAGGATTAAATGAGTTATTATGCATAAAGTGCTTAGAACAGAGCCTAGCGATAGGAAACACTATATAAATGTTAACATTGATTCTTCTTTTTTTTTTTTTAAAGATTGGCTCCTAAGCTGACATCTGTTACCAAGCTTCCTTTTCTTTTTCTTCTTCTTCTTTCTCCCCAGAGCCTCCCAGTACACAGTTGCATATTCTAGTTGTAGGTCCTTCTGGTTGTGCTGTGTGGGACGCCACCTCAGCATGGCCTGCTGAGCAATGCCATGTCCGCGCCCAGGATCCTAACTGGCGAAACCCTGGGTCTTCCAAGTCAAGCGTGCGAACTTAACCTCTCGGCCATGAGCCAGCTCCTGATTATTATTCTTTAATGCACTCTTTCTTAAACTGTAGGTTGAAATGCAGTAATAGTGAATTGAAATACAAAGAAACAGAGCAGAATCAAATATCAGAAAGCATTGCACATAGTAAAGTGTTATTGTGGGTTGTGATAAATATAGCACAATGCCTGGTATAGTGCTACCCACTCGGTAAGTTTCAATATTGCTCTTTTTGGCTAATTTGAATGAGTCCTTATAGTTTATTTGAATGAGCACCAAGATGAGTGAGGAAATGAAGAATGGAAACTCCCCCGATGTGGGTCAAATATATTTGGTTCTAATGCCTATGCTGTCACTGGTTGGCAAAGTGGTTTGGCATGTGATCTAAATTCTGCCTCAATTTCTCTTTTGTTAAAAAGGGAATTTCTTGCATGTATCTCGCAGGAAAGTGTGAAGCACGTTGAACTACTTATAGTTCAGCAGTACGTATTAGACAACGCCTTTCAACTTGCAGTTTCGAATCATAGCTGGCGACATCATAAGGCTAATTATGACTCTCCCTGTTTTTTTTTTTCTGGAAAAAAAATAGAGAGAAAATGTTTCTGATTTGCAATAAGTCAAACTTTGCCAAACTTTCTAAACACTCATGAAATTCCTAGAATTGACGATGAAATACACTTAATGTGTGTTACATTGATTTTAGAGTTTATTGCAAGTTAAACGTCAAAATTCAAACATTTCCCTATTTCACTCTTTCTGGATATTCCTTTTTGCTTTCTTCCTTTTATTTCCCTTCCAACTGCACAGAGCCCAAGTTAAAATCTGAAAAAAAGAAGTGCTGTGTGACACCATTCAGGAAGAGGACATTAGCAGTTTTTAAGCATCTGGTTCTCATCTTATTTAAAGCATGAATATGGGAATTGGGATCCTGTAGGTCCACTATTGACTTGGAAGCTAAGAGGAGAAAGGAGCCCCAGAAGAGAAAGCCTAGTCAATGAGGGGCAGGAACTTTCCACCAGCAGGGGCAGTAGCATTGAACTAACGTGGAGAGTAAAGTGCACAGGCAAGAGGATCGGTAGGAAAAAGATTAAAGTGCTGTGAGGAAGCTGAAGGGCATCGGTGCCATCATCATCATCATCATCATCATCATCACCATCATTCTGACAAGTAGAAATAAGTGAAAAGCAACAGAAAAAAAAGCGAGATGGAAAGAGAAATAGCTGAGATTCTTTTGTAAAATCGAAGGACCTTGTAGCATCTGACTTGCTGCTAAAAAAATACTGCAACTAAGTTTTTTTGTTGAGGATCAAGGAAGGGGGGAGAAGAGGTACTAGAACCATCATGATACAACTGGTTTCTCTTCCCTAGAAACGAGCAGAAGGTGTAAATGAAAACACAAGCCAGCGTTTGTATGCCCAATTAACATTCATTTGACTCTTCTTCCCCCTCCTTCATAAAAATAAAATTAACTTACACGGAATGTTTGCACTCCACCCTATCCTGTTTGTTTTCATAGTCTTCATAATTAATCTTAGTAGGTCATTATCAATAGATCAGTGAATGGAGACAAGAGGGAAGCTTTTGTCCCAAACCATTTATCAGGTCACAAGGCAGAAGTGGTCTTTGAATTGATCATCTCTAAATTCTTGGTTTCTATTATTACCAGATGGCCATAACTACTGAAGAAGAAATTCTAGACCACTTAGTATGGTCAGTTTGGATCTTCTATCTGTATGCTTAATGGAAGATGAAACAATGAGTAGGGTCCCCACCCCCAATCACTTGGAATGCTTACCTGGGCACACTGGCACACACTCTCGCAGTGGCCTTGCTCAGGTCCTGCTGGCAGCCAAGGTGAGGTAGGAGGCCATGCGAAACCCATCTAACAGCTGTTTACTAACCCACACTTAAGCCGACTTTTCAACGCTGATGAAGACCATCAGTATGTAGGAATTACAATATTCACTACCTCCCTGTGCTTAATTTTTTCTAAGGTCTGTATTCTCTGTCTCTTCAATTCTGTTTCTGAGATAAAGAAACCATCATTTGCTCCAGTGTTTTTAATTTCATATTACACAATTTTACTAATTATTTCTGAAAACCCTTTTAAGTAGGCCTGCAAACATGTGGCTAGTGTGAGCCTTCCCGTCTGTATCAGATCTATGTAAATATACCCTGCTTGGTTTCACTTGCGTCCAAACCAGTATCTTTGAGGCCAAGACCTTGGGAATTCAAGGGCAAAGTGAATTTTAATTTGGTACATTTTGTACTTTGATGAATAATGAAAAAAAATTCCCCGGAAGCTTGATTGGTTTTAGCCACATTTGCCTGTCATTATTTCTCAAACCATTGTACACAAAATCATAGGCACAAAAGATTCTTCCCTCAAAAACCAGATTCCCGGGGAAAGCAAATCAAAAGAACAGGGGAGGGGATAATGTGTCTGATTTCTCAAAAGTCTATTTACTGTCCAATTTATTTCAGTTCTTAGGCCTTTGGACAGGCTAGCAAGTAATCATTTTTATGGCTCATAAAATGAGTACTAAACATTTGTTATTAATTGCAGTTCGGAATCACTTTTTTAAAAATCTGTCATTTGGTTTCTAAAAATCGTTTCTTCTAGCTAGACACGAGCCAGGTGCTCAGAGGTGACCGGATGCCAAGTCTCAGGACTGTCCAGTCTTCCACATCAGATCTTCAGCAGGGCCTTCTGAATATTCTGGAGATTAGAACTCTATCCCCCAGACTCGCAGATGCTGTTCTCCCCCCACTGGCTCTGCACAGAACATCATTATCTTTGCCGAGCTTCTGTCTCTATGGCAATAACAGATGGGAAGTGCTGCGGAATTATTCATGTTCAGGAAAGGAGGCAGTCAAGGAGGGGAAGGTGGGGGGTGGGAGAGGGGGCACGACCCAGGGGCACGGCGATGCGGGCGTGAGGAACGGAACTTGGAAATGGTGGGGTGGTGGGGAATGAGAGGCTCGTGAGCCTTTCGTAGGCCCGTTGGGAGAAAAAGAGGAAAAAAAAACCCTATAAGCACAGCAATATTCCCAGTCGGCCGGCTGCAAATGTGGACCCCATGTGAGCGACCCTAAAGTAGTAAAAACAGGAGAAATTGGACGAAAATGGGTAAAAGGAAAAAAATGGGGACAAAGCTCGAGTCTTCTGCATTCTATGCACTGCGACTCGGGGGACTATTTCAGTTCCTGATGTTGCGGTGGGGTAGAGAAAAGGGGATTTTTTGGTATTTCGAAACATGACAGAGCCGCTCGGCCGAGTTCAGTATGTTAATTGGCTATCCTGGGAACACGGGCCAGGGACCACTCTCCTCGCCCCTGAGGCTCACAGCCGAGAGCTCTGAAATCGTATCTTTCCTCGTCTCATCGCGTGTTCTCCTCTAAAACAAAACCCCCAAACCCCTCAGTAAAAACTGTAGAAACGTGTGATTTCCAGCTCCCTTTGGATCCGAGCGGGCAGTCTGATGGGGGCGGGGGAGGGAAGCGAGGCTGAGAAGTAGGGACAAAAATGTTTCTCTCGGTTTCGCCGGAACTTTGGCCAGCCTCGGGCCCGGCCCGATGGCGGAGAGAGGTCAGCCGGGGAAGGCGGCCGGGCCGGGCCGGGCGGGGCGGCGCGCAGGCAGCTGGCGGGGCGGGCCTCGGGCTGGAGGCCCCACGGGGGCGGGGGGCAGCCCCGGCGAGCAGGGCCCACCCCGGGGGCGCTGCAGGGCGGCCGCCACCCGGCTGCCTCCGGGGCGGAGCGGCCCAGCTGCGCCCCGCGGGGGGAGGGTCGCCCGCGCCTGACCTCGGGCGGCGGCGCTCCGCCGGCGGGCCCCGCCCCCCCCCCCGCCCCCGCCCCGGCCCAGCCGGCTGCTGGGGTCGCGCACAGTGCACCGCGCGGCCGCCCTGCCCCCTCTCCCCTGGCGCGCGGCGGCCGAGCGGCCAGGGCGCCCCCGGGTCTGGCCCGTCACCACAGAGCAGCGGGTGGGGCGGGGGCGGGGCGGTGGCGGCCCCAGACAGCCGGCTGGGCGACTCGAGGAAGGAAGGCGGGCGGGTGGCGGGGGGTGGGGTGGGGAGGGAACATCCTGTCTGCGCCGAGCGCACCGCAGACAGCGCCGCGCGCCAGCCGCCCAGACGGCGCGCGGGGCCAGGAGCGCCGGGCGCGCGCCTGGGGGAGGGGCGCGCGCGCGAGCCGCCGGGGCGGGGGGAGCCCGGAGGAGCCACCATAGGCCAGACGGCGCGCGCCTCCCTGAGGGACGGCGAGCTTCGAGGCCACGGCGGCGGCGGCGACGCCGGCGGGCCCGCGCGCGCGGGTCGTCGCTGGCTCCGGGCCCCGCCCCTCCCCCTCCCCGCCGCCCTCGCTCTCCCCCGGGCGGCCGGAGACGGCGGCGGCGTCTGCGGGAAGCCGTGTGTCTCCGCAGTGACGTGGGCGGGCCGAGGGCTCGGTGACGTCAGAGGGCTGTGTGTAGCGATGTGTGTGGGGTTCGGAGCGGCGCCGGCACAGGCGAAGGGAGCGGGCGAGCGGCGGCGGCGGCGGCGGGCACAGGTGCGGCCCGCGCTCGCGGGGGGGGGTCGCGGCTGGAGGAAGGGGGCGCGCGGCCCCCCGGAGCCCGACGGCGGCGCCGGGGGGAGTGAGGAGTTAACAAAGCTCGTCGAGCTTGCCGGGCGCCGAGGCCGGAGTCGGGGGTCCGGATGCGCGGGTCCCGGGTGGGGTCGGGGCCGCGGGGGGCGCGGGGCGGGGGGCGCGGGGCGGGGGGCCTGCGGCGGATGCTGCCTCGCTGACCGGGGGCGGTAGGCGCGGGCAGGGGAAGGGCGCTGCACTTGACCCGAGCCGTCGGGACCCGGAGAGCCGGCCGCCCATCGCCGCCTCCCCCACCCCCGGCGCCGGGCTGCGCTCCGTGGGGATGCCCCCAGCTCGCCCGGTCGCCCGGCGGCGCGGGATCCCGGCTCGGCGCCCCACCCGCCCGCCAACCCCTCTCCCTTCTGGCCCCGGGCGGGCGGCGGAGGTGCCGCCCTCGGGGTGCTGGGGTAACACCCGAAAACTTCCCGGGGAGAGGGTGCGCGGGGGATTTCCACCGTCCCCGCCGCGGCCCCCGCAGTGGGGCCGTGTTGGGAGGGCACTTGGGGCTGTCGTGAGATCGCGGGTGGGGGTTGGGGGGTTCCTCTTCCTCCACTTCCCACTACCCCCTTGCACACTTCAAGGCGTCCAGGGTCCCCTGTGGTCCACTTCTCCCTCCCCCCTGGGGTTTGAGATGGGCGGGTGGCTTGGCGTGGGCCGAGGATTCCAGGGTTTGGGGGGCTTCCCCATTCTCGGTCATTCCTCCTGCCCTCTTCCTTGGCCTGCGTTGGCTGAGGTGTTCCTGTGGTGGGCGAAAGTCAGTGCGTTGGCTACTGGCCTTGGTCCTTAACCCTTTGGGTCTGTTTTAAGGTAAATTGTTGGGAGTTTGGGAGGCAAAAATTTCTATTTATTGGATTTCTTTTGGATTTTTCTCTCAAGAAGGAAGTGGAAGAAGAATCTTTTCTTTTTCCCTCTTCCTCCATTTGCATTCTTTGTGAGGTCTGTCTGCCTTGTGCTTTTTGTCCCGGATTCGTCTTGTTCAAGGATGGAGATTCCCAGGAGGGGAGTCTATAGCTTTTGGCTTCCATGAAGCAAATTCGCTAAGCTTTTAAAGGGAAAGTTAATTTTTGCCTACAGTCATTCTAAAAAAATAGCATAAACTGACGCACTTCAGATTGTAACTTAGTTACCTATGGTAGATATGTTAACTCCTATCTGAATTTTTTGCATGAAACTGGTGTTTTTTTTTAATTAGATGAAGTACTAGATTATTTTAGTTAAAATGGCATAACTGAGGAAGCCTCTAGTACTGAGTTTTGGGTGAGATGATCTGTTTTAAGTTTCTTCCTATTCTGAGTTGGAGTAACCCTCTCCCTTTTGAGGGGATGTTATTGCTCCTTTTACCCATTCTCCAAATTGCTTTCCTATTTAGATGAAGGTTCTTTTAGTTAGCTGGCGTTAGATTTAAAAAAATCACTCAAGTGTCACCTTTGGTAAAGTGAACTCAGTTTAAGATTAAGAAACTAGTTTCAAACTGACCTTTAGGCCTCTGGAGCAAATCCAAATGTAACTCTTCTCCCAACCCCCTTCTCTTCCAGATTAATTAAAAGAAGAATGAACAGTAATCCTTGAAGATACCTGGGCAGTTTTTCTTTAGGTATCATTTTTAACTGTAGAAGTTCAAGCGGAGTCAGAGGCTCTTCTTACTGGTGTGAAGATTTATACAAGTCTTCAGATTGTTGACACAGACCAACCAATCGTCATTTTTTGAGAAGATACTGTTTTTTTCTTTTTCTGGTGTCCTTGGTGCCAAAAATTAAATTTGGGTGCATCATTTTGACTTGTGTTTGTGTCTAGGTTTTATGACACAAGTAGTCGCATAAACTTTTCACGTGTTTTGCTTAAAACCAAACCGTTGCATTGAACCTGGACATCTTGAATTGAGAGAACTGGTAACTTTATTTTAATAAACATATCCGAAGATTTAAAAAAAGAAAGACTTCCTCAGAGGTGTGCCTCTTAAAATTATATTCTTTATTGTTAGAGACAAAACAAGAAATTTTTAACACTGGCAGTGAAATTATACTAGAGTATAAGCAGAACCAAAACAAAGTTGCAAGATCTATTGAGTAGTTTAGGGAGATCTCTCTTTGGAAATTTAAGTTTTCTAGAGAGTAAGTTATCATAAGTGTTGGTATATATTGCTTTTCTCTTTTTAAATAAGCAGCTAAATAACAATGCAAATCTCAGACTTACTTATTTAACAACAGTTTTTAGCAATGGAAAATCTACAGACAAATTTCCCCTTGGTTCAGGGCTCAAATAAAAAACTGAATGGGATGGGAGATGATGGCAGCCCTCCAGTGAAAAAAATGATGACAGACATTCATGCAAATGGAAAAATGATGGTAAACAAGATGCCAACAGTAAAGAAGGAACACTTGGATGACTATGAAGCGCCGATGGAAACTGATGGAGAGCATGTCAAGCGAACCTGTGCCTCTGTGCCTGAACCTTTACATTTAAATCCCAGTTTGAAACACACTTTGGCACAATTCCATTTAAGTAGTCAGAGCTCTCTGGGTGGACCAGCAGCATTTTCTGCTCGGTATTCCCAAGAAAGCATGTCACCTACTGTATTTCTGCCTCTACCATCTCCTCAGGTTCTTCCTGGTCCACTGCTCATCCCTTCTGATAGCTCCACAGAACTCACTCAGACTCTGTTGGAAGGGGAGTCTATTTCTTGTTTTCAGGTTGGAGGAGAAAAGAGACTCTGTTTGCCCCAAGTCTTAAATTCTGTTCTCCGAGAATTTTCGCTCCAGCAAATAAATACCGTGTGTGACGAATTGTACATCTATTGTTCAAGGTGTACTTCCGACCAGCTTCATATCTTAAAGGTTCTGGGAATACTTCCATTCAATGCCCCGTCCTGTGGGCTGATCACATTAACTGATGCACAAAGACTATGTAATGCTTTATTACGGCCACGTACTTTTCCTCAAAATGGCAGCATACTTCCTGCTAAAAACTCATTGGCCCAGTTAAAGGAAACTGGCAGTGCCTTTGAAGTGGAACATGAATGCTTGGGCAAATGTCAGGGTCTCTTTGCACCCCAGTTTTATGTTCAGCCTGATGCTCCATGTATTCAGTGTCTGGAGTGCTGTGGAATGTTTGCGCCCCAGACATTTGTGATGCATTCTCACAGATCACCTGACAAAAGGACTTGCCACTGGGGCTTTGAATCAGCCAAATGGCATTGCTATCTTCATGTGAACCAAAAATACCTAGGGACACCTGAAGAAAAGAAACTGAAGAAAATTTTAGAAGAAATGAAGGAGAAATTTAGCGTGAGAAATGGAAAGAGAACTCAATCTAAGGCAAGTTTCTTTTTTTAAATAGCAATTTTGAATAACTGTAATGATTTCCTTTGAAATCAAAAGTCTGTGTTTAGAATATAAGCTAACCTGTGTGTCGTTAAGAAACTTCATGCAACAACAGCAAAAAATACTGATGTATGTAATGTATTTGTTTAACACATTTTAGGATATAAAGTGCTTTCCTGTGTGTGTTCTCATTTGAATCTTCCAAACAACCTAGTGAGAGAAGTAGAATTATTCCCTTTTTACAGATAAAGAGAATGAGGCTCAGAGAGATCAAGTGGCTTTCCCAAGATTACATAGCCAGGGAGTGGAGGATTTGGGGCTTCTTTCTCAAGTCATGTCCTCTTTCTTTTTCACACATCCTGCTTTTTGATGACTTAATCTCTTGTTTTCCTAGGACTCAAGATAATTTACACTTTGGTGTTATCTCCATTTGCAAATGGTATAATAGCTAGCCAAAACAGTTCTGGTGGTGGGCCCCATACAGCATTTTTCAAAGGTACATCTAGGATTTCTGACTTTGTTTCTGTACTTGGATATTTGGGCTTGATCAATGTTAGAAACAAATGGAAAAAACAGATTTATCTGAAGAATTTGTGATTCTTTTAAAGAAAGGAATACTTACGGCCAGCCCTGTGGCCAAGTGGTTAAATTCGTGCTCCGCTTCAGTGGCCCAGAGTTTCGCTGGTTCGGATCCTGGGCGCGGACGTGGCACCGCTCATCAGGCCGAGTTGAGGTGACGTCCCACATGCCACAACTAGAAGGACTCACAACTAGAATGTACAACTATTTGCTGGGTGGCTTTAGGGAGAAGAAGAGAAAAAAAAAAAGATTGGCAACAGATGTTAGCTCAGGACCAATCTTGGGGGAAAAAAAGGAATAATTAAAAACAACAGCTAGAATAAAGAAAAGATTATTTTAGACTAAATAAATGTTAGTATAAAAACCTATTAGCAAAGAGATCTTAAACTTATTATTTTTCCCACTTTATTGTCTGGTAGGCTAAACTAATATCATTCTAAGAGTTTGAATGCCTGGGTACTAGATGTGATTTGGGTTATTAAATATTCGGTTTGTTGATCTGGTTTTTAAATATACCTTCCCACTTGATTAAAATTATAATAGGTAACACTAAGTGTTTAAAATGTGGCAAGCATTGTTCTCGAGCAGTTTTACATGTATAATTTTATCTTGATTCACACAACAAAAGATTGACCATCTTAAGACTCTGATTTTTCCACTGTTAGTTTTTATTCCTTGAAATAATCTCTGCCCTTTCTACTTCGCAGGAGAAATGAGTAAAGTGTATTAAATGACTGAAGGTTATTCCCAGCAACATTAGAGCTTGGGCTGGAACCTAAGATTTGGTGTCCCATGCTTTATTATGGTGCCTTTACGGTTTTGAGGGACATTTATTTACAGTGTAGTTTAAGACAGTGATTTATTTGCTTCTGAAGCCCAGTGAAGATCCTTTTAGACTCTTAATTCAGAGTGGTTTGCTACTTGCTGCTTCCAAAGGGTCAGCACTTCTTTGAAATTCCTTGCCTGTGGCTACTAGATAAGTTTATATTGTTCAGGTGCAGTTACTAACTGATTTTGGAGCAGGATTGGCTTCAAACCAGTTCTCAAATTGCTAGACTGGGTTACAGATGGACTGGTCCCATGCTGAAGCTTGTGCTTAGAGATTATCTATATTATCAAAATGTGGAATGCCACTTTTGATATTTATATTTTGCCTTAAGCTAATTAGGGGCTCTACTTTACATGTCCATAGGTGGCCACATTATTTGCCAGATACTCTTGCTCCAGTCTTCATTGCTGTGACAGCATTTTTGGGATAAACTACTTTGCCTAATATTCCTGCTCTGTGTTTGCGAGAAAAAAATATCTGAGAACCATGATAAAGGTTGAAAAAAAAAGATGAATTTACTTAACTGAAACCCAATGTGCTAGGGTTTGGTTAAAATTGAAACCATCCTTCATCTGGATGTAGTCCTTTATTGTCTCAGAACTTAATTTGAATTCATTTTTTATTTGTGAAAGGTGTGAGATTTTTTTCCATCTTTTTGCTGTGTTGTTTTTTGCGGTATTTGCTAGTGTTTCTGGTGTATTTTGGTGTTGTTTCCAATTTTATGTGACTTTTGAGCAATATAAGGGAATTTAAGAAAATTTCAGCAAACATTTAAGAAATGTTTTTTTGGTTTCATGTGTAATACATGCTTGAGTAGTCGTTTTATTACTTGCCACTTCACATTTTAAAAATTTACTCCTCAAAACTTTGTGAGGTGGTTCTTTTTTGAAGGTCTGTGAACAGGGTTTCCCAGATGGGTCACATGCTCCCGGTTGTATAACTGGTAGTGGTAGAATCAGGAGTTGAAGGCAGGCCTTCTTACTTGAAGTCTAGTCATTTTCACTGCTTTTCCTTAAAGCAAACTTAGTAGCATAAACTGAATTTTGAGAAACAGTAACTTTTCTTATCAACTTACCTTAATATAATGGTTCTTAAACTCTGTATTAACTTGTCTATAGACGAAGGTAATTAACTGGGAAGGGGGCAAGAAGATGGTCCTAGACTGGGGAACATTTTTCATTATCTTCTGTGAGTCAGGGAGTTGGTTGCCAAACCAATAGACCCAGAGCACACTCGTTTAAAAAACTCAACAGGCCTCTTTTTAGTTAAATAAAAGAATATACTAAATATATTAACCTCTTATATAAAGGATGTTATGTTTAGTGTGAATACTAATGTAATTGGATGTGTTTATATAGTTAATGTAGTCAGAGTATTGTTTTTGGACTGAAAAAACCCCCTGAAACTCAGTAGGCAGTTGTTTGGAATGTAGCAAGTGTTAAATTATTTCTAAGGATGGAAGTCATATTAGTAATGATCGCTAAACTATTTGCATAGCTAATAGCTATATTTAATTTGCATAGTTTGTTAGCTATATATAGATGGGAGAAGTGAGTGGTGTAAGGTCAGCGTTCTAAATGAAGAACTGACTCTATTCTTTGTAGAAACTGAAGGTAT